CGAGGTATTGGAGGTGACCCCTCCATTTTCGAGAGTCCAAAATTTCTTTAACTTCAAAATGTTGTTCCCCTTGAATCAGCAATGGCATAGGAGGATCAGTCTGGGTTGGTCTCAGACCAGAAGTGTGTTCAGGTTTCAACAAGCTAACATGGAAAACCGGATGAATTTGTCGAAGAGTTTTTGGTAGTTTCAATTGGACTGTCACAGGATTTACGATCCGTTCAATCGTGAAAGGACCCACATACTTAGGACCAAGTTTGTTTGACTTTTGAGTGGTTTGTAGGTAATTGGTGGACAGGAAAACTTTGTCACCCACTTGATAGGTCTTCTGTGGAGTTCTCTTTTTATCTGCAAACTTCTTATGAGATTGATGTGCGTCATCTAATGCTTTACGGGCAACTGGCCAGTTAAGTTGGAGTTGAGATATCCATTCGTCTAGTGACTGGATATTAGGCCTTTCACAAGGAAGCTCAGGTATGGGTCCAAAGTCTTGTCCTGAAGCCACTTTAAAGGGGGTGAATCCAGTACTACTATGAACAGAATTGTTGTATGCCACCTCGGCAAATGGCAATAAGTCAGCCCAATTATCCTGTTGATAATTTATGTAACATCTGAGGTATTGTTCTAGTATTGCGTTAGTTCTCTCACAGGCCCCATTGGTTTGAGGATGGTGGGCGGAGCTTAAGCCCTGGGCAGAGCGTATTAACTTCAGGAACTCCCTCCAAAAGTTCAAGGTGAATTGAACCCCTCGGTCAGAAATTATACATTCAGGAACGCCATGCAGTCTACAGATATGTAGTATAAACAATTTAGCCAATGATTTTGCCAAGGGAATCTTAGAGTAAGGTATGAAATGTGCTTGTTTGGAAAACAAATTGGTTACTACCCAAATAACCATGTTTCCGGTGTTCTTGGGTAACTCTACTATAAAGTCCATAGAGATTTCCTTCCACTGAGTCGTTGGCCTAGCCACATTTTGTAACAGCCCTGCTGGCTTACCAGGAGGCCTTTTTGCTGAGGCGGAAACTAAGCAGCTAGCCACATAAGTTTCAATGTCCTTCTTCAATGTAGGCCACCAGAATTGTCGCTTAACGAGGTGTAAGGTTTTCACAAATCCAAAGTGACCAGCTGCTTTAGAGTCATGGGCTTGTTGCAATATTTGGCTTCTCAGTGTCTCTGGTACATACAACTTTGCTCCCATCCAGGCCAACCCATCTCTAACTGTACAGTTATTTGAATGAGTCAGGAACCATTCATCAAGTTTTAGGGCCTCCTTTAATTGTGCCGTCAAATCATTCGATAAATCCACTTCTTGTTTCTTCTTTTGCACTCTAGTGACCACCAGGGTGGCTAGTTGTTTGGTTGAGACAATTGGCCATATCACTTCCTGACGAACACTGTTATATTGAGGCAGTCTAGATAAAGCATCCGCCATAAAATTTCTCCCCCCCGGGATGTACTTTAGTGAGAAGTTAAACTGCTTAAAATATGGGCCGACCGAACTTGTTTAGGAGACTGTTTTCAAGGCATTTTTAAGTCCTCCAAATTTTTATGGTCAGTCCATACCTCAAATGGGTGTTTCACTCATTCTAAGAAATGTCTCCGTGTCAATAGAGCCCAGCGAACTGCAAAAACTTCCTTTTCCCAGACAGCCCACCTTCTTTTGGTTTCAGTCAGTTTATGGGAGGTGTAGGCGCAGGGTTGTAAAGCTCCCTTCTCATTAATTTGAAGTAATACTGCTCCAACGGCCACATCACTCGCATCGGCTTGGATCACGAAAAGGGCATCCCTGTCCGGGTGCTTTAGGACTGGTTCTGCAGCGAACAGTCGCTTCAGCTTTTCAAAGGTGGCTTGGCATTCCATGGACCACTCCAGCGGCTTTCTAGGCTTTGGTTTCGCTTCCCCCTTAGTTTTTAAGAGATTGGTGATAGGCATTGCTATTTTAGCAAAAGACGGTTGAATTGCTGGTAAAAGTTGGCAAATCCCAAGAAGCTTTGGAGTTGTTTTCAAGTGCGCGGGGGGCCCACTCCAACACAGCCTGCACCTTTCCTGGATCCATTTCGATGCCCTTGTGTGAAATGCGATACCCCAAATAATCGATTTTCTCTTGATGGAACTCACATTTGGACAGTTTAGCATACAATTTAGCAGCTCGCAGTTTCTGTAGTATTGAACGCACCAGTTTCACATGTTCATCCCAGGTTTCTGTGTAGATAAGGATGTCACCAAGATAGACCAAAACCCCCTTGTATAAATGTTCATGTAACACCTGGTTGATCATTTGCATGAATACGGTTGGAGCCCCTTGTAGGCCAAATGGAAGAACGTTGAACTGGAAACAACCGATCGGGCAGTTAAAAGCGTTTTTCCACTCATCTCCTTCTTTAATTCGGATCCGGTAGTATGCCTCTCTCAAGTCCAACTTCGTGAAAATTTTCCCTTTAATCAAGTGGGCTCATCAGGGGGAGGGGGTACACATTTTCCATGGAAATTGCATTCAGGTTTCTATAGTCCACTACCAAATGCTTGGAGCCATCTTTCTTTTCACGGAAGAGCACTGGGGCTGGTGTCATCGAATAAAGCTTCGGTTTTGGGAGCACCACTCCAGGCAAAATTTCAATACTACAGTCTGTTGACTGATGAGGGGGAAGCTCATCTGAAGCCTTTTCACTGAACACTTCCTTCAAGTCCCAATATTCTTTCGGAACTTTTTCCTCCCCGTCCAAGTCCTCGGTACCTGTGGAGGCTAGCTCAACCGGATTCTGAAGCTTCTGCTGGGATCGCCCCTCCTTTTCCAGTCTCTGACTGGTGCGTATGCACAATGACCCTTTCCTCCAGTTGACATGGGGGTTCCACTTCCGGAGTGAGGGCAATCCCAGAATTAACAGTTGCTCCATCCCAGGGGCCACAATAAAACACAGAGTCTCTTTATGCTCCCCCATGGTCATTTCTAGGGGTTCTGTTATGAAATGTGCAGGGCAACCTCCCACCACTGATCCATCCAATTGGCAAAAGGTTATGGGCATTTCTAAAGTTCTCAGTCTGATGCCCATTTCCTCAACTACTTTCATGTTGATTACACACCTCATGCACCCAGAGTCTAGCAAGGCTAGCATCTCTCCTTTGGTCCCTGAAGTGGGTACCCTCAATCTTATTGGAATGGTCATGAGGCCTTTGTTTGGACTTACCAAGAAGTCATCTTCCGAGTCAGATTCACTCTCTTCAGGGGAGGTCAGAGGTCCCAGTTCCTCTCCTCCCGGAGGGGCGACCTCTACAACCATCCCCATCTTTAGCACGGTTTTGCAAGGCCTTTCTGGGGGGGGGGGGGGTTCAGGTTTCCTCCCTCCTTTTGGCACCCCCTTTGGATCCAGCTTGACCCTGCAGTCCGCAATCCGGTGGCCCTCCTTACCACATCGAAAACAGGCAGTGGATTTGGGTCTTGCCATCACTCCTCCCTTTGGGGGCTTTGGGGCCTCTTGGAAGCATGGGGGGGAAGGCTTGCTCCACCCAGAGCCCCCCCCCCGGCATCTGCTTCAGGTCAAATCTATTTCCACTTCTTCTGCCAGCAAGTACCACATCTGCAAATCATTGGGGTCCCTTCTGGAAATGCATCTCTGGTATATGTCTTCATTTGTATGCTTCTATCAGGGCTCCCTGGGACCAGCCTTGGATATGGCATGCCAGCTGTCTAAACTCTTGGGTGTAGTTGGCCACTGACCTCCTGCCTTGATTTATTATTTTCTTCCTGATCCTGGCCTTTCGCTCTGCCAGTGGGTCTTCAAATCTTGTCTGCAGCACGGTCATGAATTTGTTATAGTTCAGCAGTTGGGGGGAGTTATCATTATACAAAGTCACCATCCACTCTGCAGCTATTCCCTCCAGGGCCCTGGTAACACATCTCACTTTGGCTGCTTCAGAGATGAACTATTCCCTGTATTCTTCCATATAGCTCCAAACTGTGCTAGGAAGAAACCCAAGTCTTTGGGATTTCCCACAAATTTCACTTCTAACGGAGGCAGATTGAGAGCTCGGCATCTGCTAGGGATCACACCTCCCACTGGGGGCCCTGGGGCTGCAGCTGGCTGCTGTGCTGGGTCAGGCTGAATTATGGGGGTGGGGGCAGCTTGGCTGCCTCTGGCTGAGCTTGCTCCCCCTTCCCCTTCATACCTTGGTGTGACGTGGGGTTGTCCAAATGCCTCATTGAGGAGATGCCTGGCTTGATCCAGTAAAAATTCTCTCTTTTCCCTCTCTTGCCATGGCTCCTCTCTCCCACACCATCAGGTAGTGGTGACTCCAGCAAGGGGGGGGGGGGGCTCTTCGGGATCCTTCCAGCCAACTCCCAATGACTATCTGGGCTTCACAGCTGGAACCTCTATCAGGGTAAGGTCTGCTAGCAATTCAGCTGCTGGCACCTCCAGTATCAGCAAAGATTCTCCCCCCCCCACAGCTCCCAGATCCTCCTGGTCACTAGCTGGAGATGACATGATGATCAAAACCCCCTTGGAAGAAACTGGATATTTTCTCCGGGCGGGCTGGTGGTGAGATTCATAATAATGTCAGGTGATGCTCCATTCAAAATTCAAGAAATAAAACTTAGACTCTTTAGATTAGAGCAAAGATGTTTTTTACTGAAAATGAAGTGGTAACATCAGTAGAATTCTGAATCTGAGAAATAAGGCGCGCAAATCAGATATACAAAGTGATGGAATTGTTCCCACCCCCCATAGTTCAAAAGATTCTTCCAATCAAAAGTTCTGAATATGATCATGTCCGTTGACCTTGGCATATTTTGATAAAGGTTTGCAGCTGCGCAGGGAAAAGAAAGCTAAGCGAGAAATAGAAACTTAAACAAGAATTTGTACCCCCCCACTCCTCATTTACACAACACAAGCATGTAACACCTCCAGCTCTCTTCCCAGACATTATCCCCACTCCTCCTCCACCATTACTTATGGCAGCCAAAAGATGCAAAGCAGTAGTAGAAGATCTTGAAGGCTGACACTGTCCTTTCAGCCAGCGGGAATCCCAAATGCTGACCACCATGTCATCAGCAGCGGTATCATCGTCGGGTACAGGTGGAGGAACCACAGCAGCGGGAGAATGGAGAGCACACGAAGGGGCATCAGGAATCAGAAGGGAACGGTGGAAGACAGGATGAATGCACCTAGAACGCAGTAGTGTGAGCCGATAAGCAATGGGATTGATGACCGCCTCGATAGGAAAGGGACCGATGAATCGATGGTCCAGCTTCTTGACCGGGCAGTCGACTCTTAGATGTTTCATGGACAACCACACCCAGTCTCCCACAGCCAGTGGGGGCGTCACCCGGTGAGAGCGTTCCATGAACCTTTTATACTCCTCCTTTGCCCTTAACAATTGCTGTCTAATCAATTGTTGAACAGAATTTAGTTCCGACAAGAATTCCCCTGTCTCGGGAACCAGGGAATCCAAGAGCAACAACGGAAAAAACCTTGGAGGGAAGCCCACATTCACGTAAAAAGGTGTCATTTGGGTGGAGGTGTGCTGGGAGTTGTTGAAGGCAAACACCGCTAGAGGGAGATAAGCCACTCAATCATTCTGTCAGTGGTTGACAAAACACCATAAATATTGCGCGAGAATGCCAATCACCTTCTCCGTCCCACCATCAGTCTCCAGATGGTGCGCCGACGATAAACACATCTGCACCTGAAATGCAGTCATCAGGCTCTTCCAAAATTGAGCGGTAAATTGGACACCGCGATCCGAAACTACCCTGTCCAGCAGACCATGAAGATGGAACACATGCTGCAAAAACAACCGGACAGTAGTATGGGCTGATGGTAATTTACGACATGGGATAAAGTGGGCCATTTTGGTTAACATGTCGACCACCACCAGTATAGTCATAAATCCAGACGAAGAGGGCAAATGTGTTAAGAAGTCCATGGAAATTGCTCCCCATGGCCTTTCCGGAGTTGGCAGAGGTTGAAGAAGACCAGGAGGTGAACCCGTTGCGGCTTTCACTTGCCTGCATGGTACATAGGATGTGACATAGGTGTGGACATCATGCCAGACTCGAGGCCACCAAAAAGTCCTCATGACCAGATGAAGGGTCTTAAAAAATCCAAAATGCCCGGCAGCAGGGTTGTCATGACACTGAGTCATAATAAGGGTTCGAAGCGGTCCCATGGGTACGTACAACTGGCCCTGATATCAGAGTAATCCGTCCTCCAAAGTCCATGGGGAGCGAGGTCTAATCTCCCCCATCCTCTGCTGCAACCAAGCATCCAGGCACTGTGCCTCTTGCACGCGAGTCCGCAAATCCACCAGTTCCTGAATTATGGCCAAAGATTCCACTGGCAGCACCGTCTGCAGAGGAAGGGGGTTCTCAGGGCAAAGGCACTCAGGTTTGCGGGACAGAGCATCTGCTCTCCGATTATGACCACTGGGAATATAGGTCACAGAAATTTGAACTGGGCAAAAAACAACAACCACCAGATCTGCCGCTGGTTCAACTTCCTCACCATGGACAAGTGTTCCAAATTCCGATGGTCTCAAATGCAGCCTTGATAGCCACAATGGACACATCTGTCCCCACCATGAAAGGACGATGAGGATCAGGATGCCTTAGGACAGGTTCAGTGATGAAGGCCTTCTTGAGGGCCTCAAAAGCCTGTTGCTGTGGGGGCCCCCACTGGAACAGGACCTTCTTTCAAAAGAGCTGGGTTATGGGACCCGTCAGCTTGGCAAAACCCGGGATGGTCTGGTAATAGTTAGAGAACCCCAAGCGACGTTGAATGTCCTTCACTCGATGAGGGGGTTCCCAACTACACAAGGCCTCCACTTTACGCGGGTCCATGGCGATGCCTTTGGGAGAGATGATGTTCCCCAGGAACTCTAAGGAGGTCTGGAAGAAGAGGTATTTCTCCAGCTTCACATAGAGTTGATGCTCCAAAAGATGTTGCAAGACCAGACAAACATGTTGAAGGTGACTGTCCCTGGACCTGGAATAAATCAAAATATCATTCAGGTACACCACCACGAACCGATCTAACATGTCCCTAAACACATCGTTCATCAGGTGTTGGAAGACCGCGGGGGTGTTGGTCAATCCAAATGGCATCACGGTGTACTCAAAATGGCTGTATCGGGTGCCAAACGCCGTCTTCCATTCGTCCCCCTCTCGCATCCTCACCAGGTTGTAGGTTCCTCGATGATCAAGCCTGGTGAAAACAGTGGCTTCCCGCAACCGCTCCATCAACTCTGGAATGAGTGGCAAGGGGTAACTATTCCATACCGTGATGGCATTCAACTGGCAGTAATTGCAATTTATTTATTTATTTGTCAATTGTTTACGAGATAAGTAAAAGTGTATACATAATTATGAATACATGAAATGAGTACATATAAGAAAAATAAAAGAAACAATAGGACAGGGATGGTAGGCACGTTGGTGCGCTTATGCACGCCCCCTACAGACCTCTTAGGAAAGGGGTGAGGTCAATAGTAGACAGTCTAAGGTTAAAGTTTTTGGGGTTTGGGGAAGAAACTACAGAGTCGGGTAGAGTATTCCAGACATTGACCACTCTGTTGCTAAAGTCGTATTTCCTGCAATCAAGCTTGGTGCGGTTAACCTTGAGTTTGTATCTGTTGTGTGCTCTTGTGTTGTTATGGTTGAAGCTGAAGTATTCATTGACAGGTAGGACATTGCAATGTATGATTTTATATACCATGCTTAAATCAGACCGAAGACGGTGTAATTCAAGGTTTTCTAGTTCTAGAATTTCAAGTCTGGTGGCATAAGGTATTCTACAACGAGTAGAGGAGTGGAGAACTCTTCTTGTGAAATATTTCTGGACTTTCTCAATTGTGCTAATATCAGATACGTAATGTGGGTTCCAGACTGATGAGCTGTATTCGAGTATTGGTCTAGCAAATGTTTTGTATGCTCTAGTTAGTAGTGTGATATTACCAGAGAAAAAGCTACGTAAGATTAGGTTAACAACTCTTAATGCCTTTTTGGCTATGTAGTTGCAGTGGGCACTAGCACTTAGATCATTAGAGGTGAGTATTCCAAGGTCCTTTACAGAGCTTGGATCATCAACAAGATCTTGACTATTCAGCTTGTATTTTATTTTTGGATTTTTTTTGCCAATATGTAAGACAGAGCATTTATTTGTTGAGATTTGAAGTTGCCATTTGTTTGACCATTCTGATACACAGTCAAGATCTTTTTGAAGGGTAGCAGTATTGTCTGTGGTATTGAACAGCTTTACATCATCAGCGAAAAGAACGCAGTTGCTCTTAATATGATCACAGAGGTCATTTATGTAGAGTATGAAGAGAGTTGGTCCTAGAACACTGCCTTGGGGGACACCACTATTGACAGGTACAGAATTTGATAGGACACTCCCAATTTTGACCATTTGTTGTCTGTTTGACAGGAATGCTTCTATCCAGTTATGCAGTTGTCCAGAGATACCATAGGATTTTATTTTTAGGAGTAGTTTGTCATGTACCACTGAATCAAAGGCTTTACAGAAGTCTATGTAGATTGCATCTATGTAGATTGCCCTGATCAAGTTGTGTAGTCCATATGTTTTTGCAGTGTAAGAGTTGCAGATTACAGGATAGTTTTTTTCTGAAACCAAATTGTTTATTGGAGAGTAGGTTGTTTGTCTCTAAGTGGAGGATGATGGATTGGTTAATAATTGATTCCATGACTTTACAGGTGACGCAGCATAAGGAGATTGGTCTGTAATTTTCAACTAGGCAAGGGTCTCCCTTTTTTGAAGATGGGGATGACTGTGGCTTGTGACCATAGGTTAGGCAAGGAACTGGTCCTGAAAGATTTTTCAAAGATTATGCTTAGAGGTTTAGCTATGGCAGTGGATAACTTTTTTAAGAAATAGGCACATATTCCATCCGGTCCAATAGATAGGGATGGTTTTAGATTGCGTAGTGCTTTTTCAACATTGTCTTCTGTAAAATCGATATGTATTAGATCACTGTAGTTATCTGTGGTTCGGCTAGGAAATGCTGGGCATGATCCATTGCTGTTAACAAATACTGAGCCAAAAAATGTGTTAAAGATGTTGGCTTTAATGGTGTCGTCGTTGCAGTCTTTACCATTAGGTCCTATCAGGGGTGGGATGGACCTTGAATCTTTTAGTGTGTTGTTTACAAAATTGTAAAAAGCATTGGTGGAATTGGTGCTTAGAAGGTTTTCCTCTTGTTTAATGTGATAATTGGTGCATTCGGTCTTTATTTGGTGGCATAAATTTTTGTATCGGCTTTTGAAATTGGCAACGTGACCAGATTTGTTTTTCCGCCAGGGTGATCTCTTTTTGGATTGAAGTTTCCTTATTGTTATGGGCAATCTGTTTTTTTGTTTTGTTTTGGGAGTAGTTGTTGGTACATATAGTTTGATGATTCTTTTGACTTCAAGTAAAAATATGTTGTAATGGTCTTCAACAGTATTGCATCCAGTGAATAGAGATTGCCAATCAAGGGATGAGAGATCGTTGTTTATAAGATCATAGTTGCCTTTTTTGAAATTATAATTGGGGATCACATCATTGTGGTGGTTTTTGTGTGGACGTATGTTGAGACAAAAGTCAATCATATTGTGGTCACTGCTGGAAAAGGGTTCTTTAGTTTGTATTCCGTAAATTAAATTCAAACTATTGCAGAAGATGAGATCGAGGCAGTTGTTTAGTCTAGTGTTGTTGGATACTAGCTGTTCCAGTCCCAGATTTGTAACAGCATTGTAAAAGGTTGCATGTATGGTTTCAGTTGTACATTCATTTAGGGTCCAGTCAATATGAGGCAGATTGAAATCTCCCATCTTCTCCCATCTTCTTCTTAACAAAAAGAACGGGAGCCAAGAGAGGGGACGACGACAGCCAGATGAACCCTCGGGCAAAGTTCTTGTCCAAAAAATCATGGAGGGTGGCCAATTCGGGCTTGGACATGGAATACAACCGTTCCTTGGGTAGTGGGACATCAGGCAGAAGGTCCACCAGGCAATCGTAGGGCCAATGTGGGGGTAACCGGTCTGCCTCCTTCTCACTAAACACATCCAAGAAATCTGACAGTTCGGGAGGTATGGAGACGGCAGAGGTGGTGATGTCCTGGCCAGCACAGGTGTTCCACAAATGGTCCACACACTGTAAACTTGGAAAAGAAACAGTGTTCCATGACCAGGCCACCTAAGGATTATGAATCCGAAGCCAGGCCATGCCGAGGACTAATGGGAGATGGAGATCCATGGTGATATAAAAGCGGATTGCCTCCTCATGGTCCCCAATGACCAGGCGTAATGGCTAGGTAGAGAATTGAATGGGTCCAGCACGAAGTGCCCG